GCTCTGGGATTGCTTGAGCAGGGATCTAGGCTGGCCTTGCTTGAGCAGGGAGGTTGGAATAGATGACCCACTCTGGTCCCTTCCAACCTAACATTCTGTGACTTTGGGAAGTACAAGATGCATCCTCTTCACAAGGACAATCTTCCTCCCTCAAACTCCCTTTCCTTGTTTGTTTTTTTTTTTTTCAGAACTACTTCATAAATTAGTACTATGTCACACAGATATCTAGGCTGGCCTTGCTTGAGCAGGGAGGTTGGAATAGATGACCCACTCTGGTCCCTTCCAACCTAACATTCTGTGACTTTGGGAAGTACAAGATGCATCCTCTTCACAAGGACAATCTTCCTCCCTCAAACTCCCTTTCCTTGTTTGTTTTTTTTTTTTTCAGAACTACTTCATAAATTAGTACTATGTCACACAGATAATTTCTCCTTTCACCCTCTCCCCACTAATTCACCCACCACTACTACCCACAGCAGTGTGAAAACACACATCAGCAACAGCATCTGTTTGGCCACATAGGAGCTGGTCAGCTGTGGCTGGTGTGGAGGTCAAAGAGAAGTGGAAAGAGAACAACTGGCCAAGAACAAATTACTAAACAAGCACTTTGCTGTTCCCAGTGCAGACACTGCACAGCTTTGGGACACAGAAGCTTTTTCCAACTGATGCTGCTTGTGAAAACAATTCCATTTCTGGTTTGGAAGGATTGAATGTAAATTTTAGAGAGTCTTCGAAATGAACTGGTGACTAGTACATTCTTTAAAACAATTAACTGGCTCTGCTCCATCCCTAACAGTGAGATCTTCATTAAGCAGCTGAGTTTAATTAGATATGAAACACACAAGTGTCATTTTAATCTTCTTTACAACAGGAATTTTGGTTTCCTTTCTGTTTTACATTAAGGTACGGATTAGGAAAAATATCCCACTAAAGTACTGGGAGAAACAGCCTAAAAAAGGACATGAAAGCTCCATATCTGGAGGCTCTGAAAAACATGTCATGCCAGTTTGTGCTGTTAGATCTTAAACCAACATTAACTTGGGAACAATCAGCCCTGCCCTCTCCTTTTCTTTCATCCAGTGCCTCTGTCAGATCAATACACCGATTCAAGTTAAAAGCTACTTGGTTTTTTTAATTATTATTGTTATTTTCCAGCCAGATCAGTTCAGCACATGAATCCAAGTGCTTGGCCTAGCCCAAAGAGGAGCTAAGTCAAACAGGTATGGTGTGAAAACAGGAATGAACAGCCAGAATTGTTTCCTCCTCTTGCAGCTCTGCCTTGAGACATAGAAAAATCTTGTCTTGATAAACTCTGCCAGGAACAGACTAGATATGTTTAAACTTCCAGATTTTCTGCATTTTTAATGCTGTTTGAAAAGCAAAGTGCAGACAGCAATCACTGCATACCAAGCTTTGTGCTTTGGGGCATAGCAGTTGAAAATCTAGGTCTGAAATTTGTATTATTTAATAAAACTAATCTGGATTTGTTAGATTTCCTTTCCAAAAACCACTGCAAAGGACCCAGAAATGATCTGCCACCTACCTTCGTACATCTCCAAGATGTGCACAGTGTCTCCCACCTGCAAGGACAGCTCCACATCCTGCACAGCATCGTAGTTGTAGATGGCTGAAACGGGGAGAAAGAGATGGAAAATACAACCATGAGAGGAAAAAAAATATTCTGCTCTCATGGCACTGTTAAAGGCAGAATAGGAGTCTGGAAAGGCACTATAAAGTGACTGAGCTACTCTGTGTGTAGAACACAGCAGGAAAGTGCATAGAATATTCATTTCTAGATACCTCAATTGCTGAAATGGTGGGAAGCAACAAAGTTGGGCTTTTCCCTTCCAGAACACAGATCTAGGACACCTTAGGATGCAGCTGCATGTTCCCACTTTGCCAACAACCTGCCCACAAAGCTCTACCTCGGGCAAAGCTTAGGGATCAGTTCAGTAGTTCTTATTTCAGCAGTGTCTCCCAGGCCTAACTGCAAAGCAGCACTGGAAAACATCATTGGTTGCATGTCATAATACTACTGTTCTACACTAAAACATCCTCAGACTCTTTGCTGCTAAAGGCTCTGCCCAGGCAAGACCCAATTTTAGCCTGAAAACTTGAGGTTCTCCACAAATCCCTCCTAAAGACAAAGCTGCTCTGGATGCTTAAGGGATTCCCAGTGGGAATAGGATTAAGTGCAAAGCTCACACTTCTCAGCTGCCTTTTCTCTGCCAGTTTCTGCAGGTGAAGTTCCACTGAGTTCTCCCTAGAGCTCCTGGGGGCAAGATGAGAAAGGTTACTTTGAGTTTCCTTGCAGAGCAATGCAAGTCAAAAGTAAAAGCAGGGAAAGGCTTAGCTAGGGTTCCAGGAACTGATCAGCTGAGCCAGGACAGAAAATCCTGCACCAAAATGAGACTATCTTAAAAACCCCATCTTAAATACTGACCAAATTAGCATTTAAATCAGTATTGAAATCACCACTAGACCATCTTAAACCAGCATTTAAACCACTGATTTAAGTTTCCATCATCCAGTTTCCTCTCCCTCCCCACAACGATGTTGGAAATGAAGGGATTAAAAAAAATATCAGTATTTAAAACACTGATTTAAGTGCAGACTCTAAATGCAGCAATGCAATCTCCACACACACACACAAGTCTCACAGTTATGTATCCAAACCTCTTCCCTGAGCAAATTTATCAGCGAATAAACACTACGTTTGTTTTGAAGAAAGCAGATAAACCATACAAACATTTTCAGAAGCCTCTGGGAAAATCCTTCTGCCTTCTGAAAGTTTATAGTTCAAGTTCTCTGTCTGGAAATTACATAAATAAACAAACAAATAAATAAATGGAGCTTTTTCTGTCAGGAAATTTACATCAAATGCCTAGGACTTCTGTCTGGATAAGCTCTGTTGCCTCCTGGCAAAGCACCAGCACAAATGGCTATGGCTAACCAGACCGGAAATTATCAGATGTATTTCCTTATGATCTTGAGTTTTCTTTAAACTCTTGTCACTATAAATAGCCCAACAGCAGCAAACAAGGGATGTCAAACCCTGCAGTGTCTGACACACTCCCTGATCACAACTAGATACCTGGTTCTCTGTGCTGCAGAAGCAGGATTTGCTCCTAGTAGCCCTAATTTATGCCTACACATACACAGGGAGTATGAGACTAATCTACATCATTTTCCACAGGGTTCCAGGAATTTACTGGAGTTCTGCTCCTAAGGTATGAGCTGCTTTGACATCCAGTGTCCTCCCTCTCCCCACAACGGGGAAAAATGGGGACGATGTTTATGGATGAACATGAACATAGAGACATGGAATGGTTTGGGTTGGAAGGACCTTAAAGCAAACCCAGTTCCACACTGTGCCATTGGCAGGGACAACTTCCACTAACCCAGGTTGCTCCAAGCCCCATCCAACCTGGCCTGGAACACTCCCAGGGATGAGACAGCTTCTCTGGGAATCCATCCATCTCTCTCACCACCCTCACAGGGAAGAATTCCTTCTCAATATCCCACCTGTCCCTGCCCTTTTGTAGTGTGAACACTCCCCCTTGTCCTGTCCCTCCAGGCCCTTGTCCCAGGTCCCCCTCCAGCTCTCTTTGACCCCTTTAGGCATTGGAAGAGGCTCTAAGGTCTCCCTAGAGCTTCATCTACAGGCTGGACACCCCCAGCTTCCCCAGGAGAGGACACAGGAGCAGATGAGAGCAATCCATTGAGAACCTCCTTGTGCTGACAGACACTGAGATCATCAACTGATGGAAGAACTGGTTAATATTGTATTTGACTCAGTTAAAAAGAAACTGCTCCAACAGCCATAGAAAATGATGCTGCCAAGGTTTGCAGAGGTCACTGTAAAAGCCTAACCCAAGGGAAAGGAAATTACCTGCAGCTCTGCCTCCTGTTGTAATCAACCTGCCAAATCACAGATATTAAGCAGAGATGTTGTAATCCATGACTTGGATGAGCTATCTCCAAACCTCCCCAAGGTGCAGCAGGAAGCAGTGTGGATGGATAAAGCAATCCTGGGTTCCCTGGGAGTCACTGCTGGGCTGGTGGCCCATAATGTGCCACAGACACTGCACAGCACAGGTATCACTCCTCAGGTGACCCCCAGGCACCAGGGAGCCATGGCCATTAATAACCTGTTAGTAAGTCTGTCAGCAGGCTTGGAAGGTTTAAGGCAGAGTGTCTTGGCCAACTTCTAGCTTGGCTGATTACATTCTGTCTACTGAAGTTTCCTGCTGTGGTCACAGCCGGACAACCTTACTCATTGTCCTCAACTGCTGTTTGGGATTCCTGTCCATGGCTGTTCTCTCCACATGCACCTCAACACCCTCAGAGTAAAGAATTCCTTCCCAATATCCCATCTATCCCTGCCCTCTGGCAGTGGGAAGCCATTGCGCCTTGTCCCATCATTCCAGGCCCTTGTCCCTAGTCCCTCTCCAGCTCTCTTGAAGCCCTTCAGGCACTGAAAGGGGTTCTAAGGTGTCTCTGCAGCTTTCTGTTCTCCAGGCTGAACACCCTCAGCTGTCTCAGCCTGGCCATGGCAGGGGTGCTCCAGCTCATCTGTGGCCTCCTCTGGACTCATCCCAACCCATCAATGTCTCTCTTATACATACAGGGATTCCTACACACAATTTCTAGATGCCTTAGGTTTTCCAGGGACAAACAGACATTATCTTGGTTGCATTTTTCCCTAAATTGCTGCTTCAGCTTCAGACAAAACAGTCTGAGTAGCACCAGTGTCCCAAGGAAAGGTGGGTGGCACCAGAGCAGCCTTTCTTCTGGGAACACAGAGTTAATTGAAACCAAAGTGCACAGCAAGCCACAAGATGAGGGAGAACTCAACAGTTCCCTTCCCCTCCCCAAAGATCACACCAGCCACAAGACAGAGAACTAACCATTGCAGTTCCCTTCCCTTCTCTACCCAATATGTTTCACATCCCAATGTGCAGCACTTATCACCTAAAGGAACTAATTTCTGCTACTGTACATCAAAAAAAAAAAAAAAAGGCAGTTTTTTTAGTGTCTTGCCTTGCCAGACTGAATTAAGCCAGAACAGAGGGTCACTGTATAGAAAATCTCCTCCCCAGTGGTTATGCACAAGGTTATAATAGACAAATTGCTGGCATATTTTCCCTGGGAGCTTTTGCTGTTTGCAGCTGATGCTTCCTGCTGCTGGGAGTCAGTGCTGTCCCATCTGCAGTGATCCGTGCTGCTGAGCCTCTGCTTTCCTCTGTGTATTTAATCTGACCTCTTTCAACCTTGAAAGTAAAAGGAAACTGCACATAACAAACACGGTCACGGCATAAAAAAAACTAACTCGCCCTCATTTAAATCCTGACAGAGCAGCAAGAAAGGAAGAGAAGGGAAAAATAATACAGAGACTTTTGTCCCCAAATTTGCAGCAATATCTGAAGTCTTTTTGCTTCAAGCTAAACTTCAGCTGAGATTTTGTCCCTTTGAAATTCACTTTAGAATGTTGATCCTGCTCCTTTTATCCCGCTGAATGAAAAGCAGCACTGAAGTCTGAAAAATCTAATCTAAACAGAGGCAGAGATGGAAAACATGATCCTTAAGAAGGAGGGTTTAAGATCATACACTTTGAGCACAACAAGAGGCAACATCTCATACTGTTTAGTCCTCCAGTTTGGTTAGTGAGAGAAAGAGTTTTCCCAACAGTACACCAAATTATGGAGTTCATGAGGAGGAAAGGTCAGGGGAGTCAGCACTGGGGCTGGTTTGAGAAGGGCAGCAGATAACTGTGCCTGATGACAGCAGCCAGAGTCATGGGGGTGAAGATAAGGGTGAAGATAAGCAGCAGTTTCCATGCTTCAGGGCAGAAGGTGATTCCTCACAAGGGATGGAGGAGCAGCTCTAAAGGCATTGCACAACAGGCTGTGCACTCTGGGTGTGGGGATACACTGCTCTGCTCTGAGCATCACCCCAACTCATCCCCAGAGACACAGACTACATGGATGGCAAAGGAAACTTGGGAGAGCCAAGAACTAACAAGAACCAACAGTGAGCTGGAAGGTTCTGGCACAAGCAGCAGCATGGTGGGAAGAGCAGGTTTAGCCGCGTGACTCCCGCAACTGCATGAAGACACCAGATTAACCCCAACACACTGCTGGTCCAGGAAACACCAAGAAGTGGCACTTACAACAGTAAGAAGCCTCAATGCCATGCATGGGACAGAAAATGAGAAGTACAATTAGATTATAACTAAAAACCTCAAAACACACTTTGAAAAACCCACAAAGCTTCACTTTGTGCAAGATTCCAGGAGAAGACTGAATTTGCAAGAGCTCTGTCAGCAGCTCATGGAGCTGAGCTGGATTTTAGTGGACCCAGGGGCAGATTGGGCAGTTCCAGCCCTATTTCTTGTGCCACCCAACAGCACTGATTTGTTAGGAAGGTGATGGTGCAGTCAGCTCCAAAGGGACATAGGGATCTGCACACACCTGGACAAGTAACTCCTGCACTAGGGAGTTGCTTTTCCTCCGTATCATACTGGGAGTGATTGGGAGAGATGGGGACCATATTGGAACCAGACTGGGAGTGAGCTGAACCATCCTGGAGGTGACTGGGATCCATTATCTGTAACTTGGCTCAGCA